AGTAACCTTTGTTACTGTTACACTATGTAACCTTTGTTAAAAGGACAGCATTTCCACAAGGAATAGCATACTTATTAACAGCACTAACTTGGTTCTAGCTAAGCACAGAACAGACTTTTAGTACCAGAAAGAAACTAAGGTTACACAGTTTTTTCTTTAAACACTCTCTCCCTGCTCTGTCCCACATAGAGATGAGTATTTTCCTATAAATGTTGCCATTATTTTCCTCTTCAGGGTGGGATGCAAAGTTTATGGGGCCTCAAAATTATATAATTTTGCATTCCCTGTTTAAGAAAAAGATTTAAAAATTATGTATACATAGTTGGCAGGAAAGTGAATATTTATTTTGAATGAGAAAAGCAATAACAAACAACTATAAATTTTCTAAACCTGAAAATACTATTAACATCACAAAATCTAGAAAACAATACAGAATTTTTGTTTTGTTAGTCAATGAATCCCTATGCTTTTTGGGGGTCTACGTTTTGATCATCTTCTAATATGACAATAATTTTTATAATATTTTCTATAGAGAAGAAAGAAAATTAAGGATTTTTTTCTCTAGCTGGTTGATAGAAAAAAAATAGAGTTGTTACAGATAGTTTTAAAAAGTGCATTTCTGTTTCACAACTCATTGCTGGTTATGTTATAGCCATTAGCATTGTTCTGATATTTGGGGAAACTTCTGTCAAGTCTGCTTCATAGCTGAGCTGAATGATTTGAAAGAGTTGTCCACAGAGCATATTCTGGCCCAATACAATTCAAACCTTATTTCTCCTCCACTAATCACATCCTTCCTGTATCAGTGTTGTAGTTCACAATCGATAGCCGTAAAACCTCTATCTGTGAATACTTGTGTCACAACACTAGGTGAGATGGTAGGAGTATTCCTGGAAATATTTCTACAACAGAACAGTAGCAATATCTAAATAATGCAAACAAAATATTTCTTTAAACCCAAACTAAATAAATGTCTAACTCTTCTTCACAGATAGTCATGCCCCCTCTACCACCATTTGACCCAGAGGGCAGTGTGATAGGTGGGGATGTCACCTGGGGATTGCAGGTAAAATACCGTACTTTTGCAACAAAGAGAGATGACCACGTAAACACATTTATAAGCCCCTCCCACAGACATGGAGGGAGCTTCTTTAGCGTCAAAGTCACTCCTTCACTGTCCACCCCTCCCCATTATGGCCTTCCTTCCTGTGCCTCTTCCTTTAACCATTCCCATGTACAAACACACCTTTGAGTGAGGCCTGCTTGGTTTTTCTTACTCCTTCCAAATGCATTTGCCATCAAACCCTATTGTTTTTACCTTCAGTTTTACCTTTGGCCTGAATACTTCCAGTCTCATCCCTGTCGTCATAGCTAGGGCCACATCTCAGTAAGCCTCACTATTGTTAATTCCCTAAATCTTCTCCTTTCTTCATCCTCTTCTTTAATCCACCCTAGACAACTAATAATTATGAAATTCCCCAAAACCTCAGGTTACCTTCTGCTATGAAATCTTCAGGTGGCATTTTATCATAAGTGAAGTCCAGCCTTGAGGGTATATGTAACTCTTCTCTACTTTTCTCTCCATTATTTCCCTGCTATCTTAAAGAAATTCTATTTCACCAAATTGTTTTTCCAGATTCTTTACACTTGCTTTGAAAGTTTCCTTTTCTTGTCTTTGCTCTTACCATCCCTTCTGCATGGACTTTTCTCCCTCTTCTCTCTGCTTCTAAATGTTATAACTATTATCCTGGTCTCCTTGCAATTGTTTTGCTTACCGTCTTAGAGGTTTCCTAAAACAGCCATATAGCCATCAGTGATAATTCCCTTTACCGGAGCATGCATATTTTCTATTTGGTACTTATTATATGCTGTGTTCTACTGTCATAATATATATGTTTATATATGTATTAGTGTGCATATGTATAACCTTTTCCCTTAAATATCATAAGTAGGTTCAATTCAAAGCACTTTACTTAGAACAGAAAAGATAAAGCAAATTTAAGAAACACTGCCTTTAGGATGTATAAAATCTTGTAAGTGAGATAAGATGATAACAAATGACTTCTAATAGAGGGAGAGTAAGATAAGAGCCCTATATAGCAAATGCATACGTGTTAATTGTTGGACTAATGCTATCTCTCCCACTAGATGGCATACTTTTTAGAGTACAGACAGTTTCTCTTTAACTACAGTTTTTATATTTCCAGCACTTAGTTTCTGGAGGTATTGAGTTCTCTGTAGTCGGAGATATTCATGCAGGTATAAATACTGGGAGATGTCCTAAGTACTGCTGAGAGGACTAAAACACTGGCTAGTGGTCCAGATGGGAGTATGAAGTACAACTGATCTGTGTGAAACGGTGTGAGTTCTCTGTGAGATAGTACTCTACAGGATACTTTATGGTTCTTTACCAAGAGGAAACACAATGCATCAGGTCGAGAGGTTGTCGAGACAGAAAAGTGGATGCAATTCTCAGTTCCAAGCTTCAGTTTCTTTACCTACTAAAATAGTAAAATCTAAAACTAGTTGCTAGTATTATCCTGAGATTAAGTGAATTAATATACAGTGACTGGAACCTAGGAGGTATTCAAAAGTTTTAGTTTTAATTTATTCCCTTTTAGCAATGGTAGAGCTGATAATGCTTAATATTTTGTCCTATGGAAGCTTTTGTTGAAATATTATTTTTGATTCGGCAAATCTACTTCAATCATGAAGATGGATCTACAAAATGTAAATGTACTGTCTTAGCAGAAGGTCAATGAAAAAAAGCTTTAAAATATTTAAAGTCTGGGTTATGATGTGTAACAAACTAAAATTCAAAAAACTTTTAAGACTCAGCTAACACTAATGATGGTTTTAAACAGCATTCTCAATTACAGTAAGCTGTTTCTTGTCAGGCCAGCTGCCAGGAGTGGATTTGATTACCTAAATACATTCTATGTGGTCAGAAATTTAACACTGAAAACTCAGCAGGGGAGAAAGAAGTCTGAAGAGTGAATTGACTCGTAGTGTGATTTACAATAAAAGGAAGCTTTTCTAAGAAATTTTATCTGAAAGTTAAGAACTCCTTTGAGATTTTCACCATCAACTCAGCATGGTGCTATTATTTTGTTACTGAAACACTTAAACTTTTGTTTTTCTTACTCCTTGCAGAGGAATCAATAGTCTAAAATTAGAGCAGAGAGTAGCAGCTCTTGAGTGCTAATCAGGGTTGGGCACTAAGGATTTCAAAGATTGCAGCCAGCAGCCTATCAGCCACATATTAAACCTTACTCATTAAATTGTTTTCAGAAACAAAAATAATGAAAATATAATACAGGACAGGTTTTCATAAAATATGCTATAAACAGTTTTTCAAAAATATATCCATATACTTTTTACTATTATCAATAGTATGTTCTCCTAGATATATTTTGGGATGTCCGCCAAGCTCATAATACTTTTTCCTCTCTAAAAATTAGTGTCTCTCCATGTTGTCCTTGCGGCTGGGTCCCCAATAACTAAGTTTTTCTCGCTTCTTAATTTTAAAAATTGATCTGTTTAAGCCTCTATTTGGAAGACAAAAACACCATAGTGACAACGTACATAAAGATTGTTGAGCTAAACAGTTCCTCAAAGATAAAAGTGATCCTGCCACCCTTGTTGTGGATTTTTAATTCATTTAAACAAGTACTTATTTTTCACGTACTATGTCTCTGGCAAGAAATGGCAGAACTAGGTCTAGTCCCTGAGTTTTTTTGACTTGTGGGTTTGTTTGCAGAGTAGAATATGATTTCTGTTTCTGGTTTTGCAATTTTAAGATTGTCTAAGTTTTTAAATATTAATACTTGATGTAGTAAAGATACTTAGATGAACACATTTCATCTGTTCCAGTAGAAGTGGATTTTTACACTTACTTCACTCTTATAGATAATAGTCAATATTTCATATTTAAGCAGTAACATTATTCCTAAAAATGAATACATGATAAAATTAATATACTCTTAGTAATACCTATAAACTATATTCACTTTATTTTATAGCTAAGTTTTGACTATTAACCAGTCCATATGTTTTGAGTGCCCCATATGTGACAGTAACTGTATTTGATGAGTTTATGTTTAATGAGAAATAATTTATATAAGACGTTGAACAGGACAGCATGCTTATGGACAGTTGAATGAAACAAATACCTAGATCAGGAGATGGACATGCTGGAGAGGTTAAAGGCAAAATAAATCTTTTTCATAGTACAATGATCTGGCTTGCATCAGTTAAATTTAACATTTACAGAAGACTTCCTATTGTTACACTGTTAGTAAATTTTCCCTTTTTACAAGTTTCACAATCTAGTCTGAGAAATGAACACAAGGACCACAGTGTAATTAGTGGAATACTGACAATCAGAACTAAAGGTTAAAAGATGTTTAGATACATAAGATGACCAAAAGATAATAGTAGATAGGAAAGGAGGGGGATGCTTGGAAACACTGCATTTCGTCTGTTCATTGTATAATTTTTTGAATTTTTTATGCCAATCCCGTCTTTAATATGGTGAAAGAAAGAGTCAGGATATATAAATGAAAGACCAGCCACACGGTCTTACAATAGTCCCAAAGTGTATAATATAATCATATTATATTTGTCAAATATTTCTGAGTTTTATGCTAATATTTATCAAGTTCCGGAAATCTCTGAATACATGGCAATTCACTTTTTGTTTATAATTATTTCTCATTTGAAATCTGATCAAACTTCCTAAGGATAAGAAAGCCTCGGGATAGTTTGGTTCTTAAAATACAAGCTCTTTAACTAGCACTAACAGTGATGACACCTGTAAAATGAAACCTTTTCTCAAAATGCTCTCATTTAAACGCACTGCTTAAATTCTCTTGCAAATGACATTCGTTTCTGCAACAAACATTACCTGCTATATTCATGGTATATGAACGGTTTGAGACGTAGCTTGTTAACTCATCAATTGAACTCATCCTTACAACTTATTTCTTGAGAGTACTTACGTATTCTTCATAAGCTTCATGGGCTGGAGGAGGAGGCGCCCTGTATCCTGGCACTGTTGGTGCCCCCCGGGCTCGAGGGGTAGGGACACCTCTTGCTACAGGTGGCACTGGAAGGGCTCCACGGGTTACAGTGCTTCCTCGAGGGGTGAGAACACCTCGTCCAGGTGGTGGGGGAGGAGGAATGGCACCCCCACGGCCCCTAAGAGAAACAAGTCATGTATAGATGAGAAACAGGTGATGCGAGAAAAGAGACTATCACAGAAAAAGCTTTCATCTCACAGCCTCCATACAGTGAAAGAAATACAAATTTCTCTCTCTCTCTCTCTCTCTCTCTGTGTGTGTGTGTGTGTGTGTTTAATAGAAATTATATAAGATACAAAGTGTGTTGATATCTATAGAAGACAATAATTGCAAATACTGACTATGACTAGTTCTTATAAAAACCATGTAAAATACTTTGTTATTGTCTTTTACATAACTAAAAACCCTAAGCAAAGAAAAAAAAAAAAACAAAGAAAAACCCACTCTGAATATAACCCCATTAAATTCCAAATTCTCCAAGAAGACACAAATCAGAGCATTGTCTGATATATGACTCACTGGACCATCTCTGAAACTGAGCAGCTGGATGTCTACATTTCCTCTATGCTGGGGATTATAGACAGTGATGGGCAATGCTGTCATTCACCAAAAAAAAAAAAAAAAAAAAAGTTGTCTGCACTTAAATAAAATGTGGAAGTCTAACCATAGTGATATCATTTTATTACAGCAGTTTAAGTTTGAGGTCACTTGAAATCACAACTCTTTGTCACTGATTTATCATCCTGCATGTAACCCCCTGAGCTGGTGCAGTTCCTGACAGAATATATTTTCTTATGGTAACTATGGTGTTAGAGGAATACTTTAGTATCTGTAATAAAAATAATACACTGAATACTTTGTATTGCAGTTCTTGATACAAAATTAGCTTGCAATAAAAGTGTAAGATCAAATGGTTGTAGCCAATTTTTATGGTATTTTGAAGCTTTTAGAAAGGTTGAGTGTTTGTCTGAAGTCTTTGGGCAAAAGCACAGTTATTTCACTTTTTATTATTATGTCTGAAAGGTTGGCCTCTAGATAGCACTGCTTTCAGTGGGAACACTAAAGCTTTGGGGAAAAAAATGATGATCATTGGGATGTCAACAATCACAGTATTTGGCTGTAGCCACATATGGGGACGTAGGTTATGCTGTCTGCTATGAATAGCAGTCAGATTGCTCTTTCTTGCTTAAAATAAAAGTGAGCTTTTATGAGTGAAGAATATGAATGTGGGAAAAGCCTTTAAAAGTTTTAAATAGCTTATAGAGCTGATGAATAGAGAAATGATCAGAGAACTTATTGTGAGTATAATGTATAAAGAATACTCTCCTAGATTGGGAGAGGGTGAAACACAAAGACCCAGAGGCCCAGTGCTGGCTTCAAGTACAACATGGCTGAGAATACAGTATTCTGTATTATCATGATAATATATAAAGGGATGTAAAAACCAATTTTGCCTTCACTGCTCCTCCAAGCACATTTCCATTTCCTCATTAGCAAGATGAGCATATGTCCAGGTTTTAGAACTGTTGTCCTAGCTTCCTGTTCAGTTTAGCATTTTAACACTCTCAAAAGTATCCATGTGTGGACAATAAATTATATGGTCACCCTGCTGTAAACTATATGCACAAGTCTTCACTATACCATTGAATAGTCATGGGTAAGTATTATAACTACCCAGGCTTGAGGTAGATATATTTTTCTAATGAGTAAAATGCAGATTTCTAAATTTTTAGTACTTCCTTCTGCTCTAATATTAGATGATGCTCATCATATCAAATCTAATTTTCCATTTTCTTCCTTCATCAACTGACTACCAGACACAGCCCTAGCAAACCTGTCTCCTGAACCTGACTCATTACCTCTTATCCACTATGTTCTTTCCCTGGAATATTAACCTCCTTGTTCTCTCCTCCAACTTAATTCACATCACTTTTTTTTAGGATACTGCCCCTGGCTAAAACCACACCACAGTATCCTTTCCTTTATTTGTCTGACTTCCTCTACATTTCTGAACTGAATGTTATCAGTCTAGTTCTTGCTTTCACCCCTCTTTTGAAAGTGCTCTTGGCTGAGATCACCAGTAGCCTACTGATTTCCAAATCCACTAGATTTCTTTACAGTCTCCATGCCACAGCACATTTCTACTATTTTTAAGATTGTGGACCATTATCTGGAAAATGTTTCTTCCGACTTTTATGACTCTGCTTTTCTCTACTTTTCCTCATTCCTCCTTCTTACTCCTTATCCTCCTTCACTGGCTTCTATTCCTGGACCCACTTTGGAATCTGGATGTACCCAATTTCTGTCCTTGATCTCATGATTGCACCCTGCAATCCCTACCTCTGATGATGACTATAATCTCTTTCTTCCTAACACAATGCCATATCTTGGCTTGTCTTCCTTATATCAGAAGTTTCTTAACTTGCCTGCATGTTAAAGTGACTTGAGAATCTTTTGAAAGTTCCAAATTCCAGGCCATATCCTAGGCCAATTAAACCACAATCTCTGGAGACAGGCAGCTCCCAGTGATTCCAGAATACAGGCCAATTTGGGAACCACTGCCTTAAATGAATACTCTAATTTAAGCATCTTGACAAGCTTGTCATGTGGGCAGTTCTAAACTATTTTAAACATAAGTTGAGATATTAAGGCATGGAGAGTACAAGTTACCTGCCTGAGGTCACACCAGCCATCCACAAAGCTCAGATTATTTACAGGAATAATTATATTCTTCATTTAATTTGATCCTTCACCTACTCTTAATGATATCACCAATTTCTCATCAGGCTAGACACCAAAAATTTATCTTTCTCTTGGGGAACCCTTCTTATCCAACATCTAATTGGCATTAATTCATATAAATGTCAATCTCTAATCTGGCCCTATCCCTGTCTATTCCAAATGCTGCTCATTGTTACCTGCCTTGGATGATGGACTCATTTTCTCATGGGCTCCCCTGCTATAAGATGGTTTCTCTGTCTCTGTCTCTCTCTCTCAATCACTGTAATTCTTCTGCATCATCCACAGAGATAACTGAGTAGTCTTTCATATAAATAAATATGATTACTCTCCTCTTTAAAAAAACTCTATTAGTTCTATGTATTAGTTCTCAATGTGGTAAACAAAAGCCTTCAAAATTTACCCCTAATGTTTCATTTTCCAGTGACTGCACTCACTGTAACATGTAGTGGTGATATGTGTTAGAGATGTCATATATTTTTATTCATCAATTATTCAAAATAAATTATTATTACAATATATAGATGTAACACTTTATTCTCTGGTGCACATTATTATTGGAAAATTAAAGTTATAGATAGGATTATTGAAATGCAAATTGTTTTAATTAAATATATTTTCAACAAATTATATAATTTAAAAATATTCTAGATATCATCTTTTTGAATGTAAGTGTAATTAAATAACTTCATACAGTAATAATTTCATGACTTAATTCAAATTAGCAACTGTTAACTCATGCAAAGTTCTCTTAGTAATATGATTTTCTATTTTGCAAGGCTATTTTCTTATTCATTTTAAATTGTAGATACAGTTCATCATACTGTTTGAAACAGAAGACAATAAAATTCTGTTTCATTTCCTCTCATTAATGCTAGCACCACTAATGATATCAGTACACATTGGAAGTGAAATTTAATTTTTAATGTTAATTTAATTTTATTTTTATGTATATAGTATCAGATCTGTATGTTATATGGGATTAAACAGTAAAATCTTTCAATCAAATTTTTCTTCTAAGAAGATATATTAAAATCCAGACCATAATGCACTATCCTATATTCAATTATTTAAATGGATTGAAATCTTAGAATAAGGCTTCTCTGAAATTAAAATCTTATATGGTCCACTCAAAAATGCCAGATGCAAAATTCAACTAAGGGATATCAATAACAAAACAAAATCTATTACTATGATGATTTCATACTATCAAATGCAGATAGATTCATTATTTTAATGCCCCCCCCATTTTAAGGCATACGAAATAGAAAAGTGTGTGCCCTCCTCAGGCATCCTAAATATATATTTAGTTTCAACCACATAAAGCTGTAAAATTGGCATTTGTTGAACTACAAAAGTTGCAATTTCATATGATTTAACTTATGATTAAATCCATTAAAGATGACTAGCAATAATGTCTTTTTTACCTCATCAAGATGAGTTTAGAAATGTACACGGTTTTATAAAACACTCATCCCATAAAAAAGTACAGTATTGTGTTATGTCACATTAATTCTTAGCATAAACAAATGATCCTGAACAGCATTAGACAGCTTATTTTTGATTTTTTAAAGATAAAATATAAATAAGCTCTAGAACACATTCAGAAGTTTTGCTTTTAGTGAAACAGAATTTCTAGAGTTACCGCATTTTACCTCTAGTAAATAGTATTCCTTGATATTTTATTTGGTAATTTATCATTCTTTCCTTTTGTTTCTGACCAGTGAGAAACATTTTGAGATATTTTTGATTTAAGTGTTACAAACAGTGGCTATGTTGATAGTGGTGGTTGAAAGTATTTGAAGTATAATTTAAGTAAATAAACTGAATCTGAAAAATATCTTAGCATATCTTAAGATAATTTTTATGTAATATATGAAATAATATTTTAGATCTCTGTCCTTTAGAGATTTAAGGGCCAATTATAACAAGGTGAAGAGAATGATTAAATCACACAGTTGTTCTGTGAAGGCTACGAGTATTTTTTACTTTAACTCTTTTCAAACCAATGCCTTCTATTAAAATCTCAAACAATTCAGAACCCTGCAAAACAAATTATAATACAAAAAGATACCAATTTCTTTGCAAATAAGCAAAATCAAATAAAAATCCTCTCTGATCACCAAGAGGAGCTATAAGTACCCTCTGCACTTTGAATATCCTTACCATCAGCCATGCAAGAAGTGTTCTGGCCTTCTGGGCTGATGGCACATATGTTATCTGTATCTCTCTCTGTATTTCTATCTATCTACTTCCTTATCTAGCAAGACTATATCAATTCAAGGACCATTTAAAACACAGAAAAAGTTTACAGTTTTCTCTTCATACAAGGGTATCTTGGTTTGAAGAGGTGAATAGTTGTATCATCTGTGTGTTCTTATCCTGAGGATAGAACAGGAAAGTAGAAAATCTCCGGTTTGCTGCCTTATTTTCTCGGGGTAGTTGTTAAGAGTATAAACTGTGAATTCTGGAGTCAGACTGTCTACGTGACCCTAGGTTAATTTCCTACACCTTTCTCTACTTCAATTTCTCACCTGTAGTTGCTAGTTATCTCCTAGTATGGAGGATTTGGTGAGTTAATATGTGTAAAGCTCTTCTGTACCTGATAAGCTTTCATCGTTATTGTTTTTGCTGTGGTGGTAGTGATTGTGGCTGATGTTGCTGTTTACTGCTAGTGATAATCATGACATAAAGCAGGACAGAAAAGGCCTCATCCTTAATTTATTTAAAGTAAGAATGAATGTACCTTGAAGGAGCTGTGGGAGCTATTCTGATCCCTCTGCCTCTAATACCTCGGCCACGACCAGAGTCCTCTGAGCCATTTAAGTAAGATAATTCACGTAGTTGTTCCTGACGAATTTCATCATTGTAGTCCTGGAAAAAAAACATGATGTGATGAGTTAAAAATGGGACATGCCGTTCTCAGAGTTGGAAAAAAAAAAAAAAGAAACAAAACAAAACACAATAGGAAATAATTTTTTTCATTTGTTTCCTGGAACCTTATATGCAAAAATATAAAATGATATTAAAAAGTGTATATATTTTAAATTCCTATTTTTATATAGAGAAATTGGAATTGCTTATTTTATCAAGAAAATATTCAGCAGGACATCACATTAGATTTGCTGAGATGTGTTAGCTGGAAAAGGGAAGACAGCAACATAAAACAAAAACTTGGAATGTACTAAAGTTATGATTGTTAACATGACAATTACTAAAAAAAACTTCATCTGAATGAATGTGTGTAGAATATGAATGACTACGTGATATTCAAATAGTTTCTGATGCATAAACAAAAAACAGCTATCCCAAGGGTCCAGAGTAGACACTGAGCATGTATTACAACATAAAGAAGTAGGATAGTATGTCTCTACTTCAGACCACCAGCAGCTGCAGAATCCAACTAAATAGCTTGATGTGAAATATTTATTTATTTATTTATTTTCATTTTTTATTTATTTACTTTTTTGAGACACAGTCTCTGTCACCCACGCTGGAGTACAGTGGCATGATCTCGGCTCACTGCAGTCTCTGCCTCCTGGGTTAAAGCAATTCTCCTGTCTCAGCCTCCAGAGTAGCTGGAATTACAGGTGCACACCACCATGCCTGGCTAATTTTTGTATTTTTCGTAGAGCCAGGGTTTCGCCATGTTGACCAGGCTGGTCTTGAACTCCTGGCCTCAAGTGATCCACCCACCTCGGCCTCCCAAAGTGCCAGGATTACAGGCATGAGCCACTGCATCTGACCGCAGTGTGAAATATTTAAACACTACCAATTTTCTACGAGTTCCAGTATTGGCTTAAGGGAAAGTGTGAGCCAGAGAAAAAGGCAAATTTCAAAATAACAACCAGAGATTCAGTCAAAGTCAAAGGGACTTTTTCCTTTATCAGGACGGAAATATACCAGCCAATTCAAGAGGACGCAAGAGTGGAGCTGAGTCATTAAAGGTAAATGCTACCTTCAAAAAACAAGTGCCAGTGTCACCTGTTTCTCTTTTTACTAATCAACACACACATACACACACACACACACACACACACGCTCACACACCCCGGTTGAATAGTACAAAATTGAGTAACTGGTTATTTGTGCCAAATGGCCAATCTGATCAATTATTTTTCTGGAAACATAGTTTAAGTGAAATCAATCTAGCGGCTCTTCTAGTGGTGAGGAGAGGGTTCCAGGAGTTAACACTATATTTGTAGAGGTTTGGCTAACAGCAATGATGTCTGAGGCCTATCTGTGAGACTAAAAATTAAGATTATCATCTGCACCAAATGATGTCAGTGTAGCTCTGCATATGTGTGGTACTGATGAAAACTGTGTAGGGTCACCCACACACCTCTGTCTAGAAAATGGCAGGGAAGCATTCAGCCTCCAAGGATTTCTTTGGCACAGCTTTACCTCATGCTCTAGAAACCACCTAGATTACAAGCAAAAAGCCCAAAAGCATTTCACTTAATTTTATTTTTTGCATGTTGCTTTCATATTTATATTCTTCAGCACCTGATTATAGTGATAATAGCCTCAACACAGTTAGCTGACAGAAGAGCCATAGAGTAGAAAATTATAGTTTCTAACAAGCCGTATATTATTCAATTTCTACCTCCTAATTTTCTCATTCAAACAACTAAACTTAAGAAGAAACATGTCTATTATTTTATTAGAATCAGGAAATATAATGAATTGCCACTACTGAGTGAACTGACCAGGTACTATCAAAATGAAACATTAATCCCATAATTTCACAATGTAATGTTTACCAGTTTCAAAGGGGATATTTGTAGCTTCTTCTCTGAGGAAAACACATAGATACTTGGGGTGCTTATGAATTCTAGAAAGATATGGATTGTCACTGTTGGCAAGACTGGGGGTTAGAATAAACATTTTAACAAGTTGCAATTGAATTCAACACAGATAGAAGTGTACCTTAGAGCATAAATATTTTTTACACCAGAATCAGAAAATATAAGAATGTAGATGTGATCTTATTCATTTTATAATAATAAAGAATATGAAGAAGAAGAATGAGGAATAGGAGGAAAAGGATGAAGTCAAGGAGGCTGGGGAAGAGAGAGAGGAAGAGCAACATACTAATCAGATGGTGTCACAGACTAAGCCAATTTGTTCAGGATTCCCTGCATCCATATCCTTAGATAGTTTCCACCACACTGACTCTGGGATTTGCCATGTGATTTGCTTTAGCTAAAACATCACGACAAAAGCAGAGATTAGAAAAGTGCTTGCGTACTGGAGCTTTCCTTTTCTACTTACTGGAAACCCCTATGCCACCTGGTGAAGAAGCCTAGACTAGCTTTCTGGAGGATGAGAGGTAACATGGAGAAAGGCTCCAGTCATCTCTGCTCTCCCTGTCATCCTGTCTGAGTACCCAGACATGACAGTGAGGATTGAATCTCCAGATATCCTAAGCCATCCTGTCCCAGTCAAGCTGGTGCAGTCAGAAAAATCACCTGGCCAACCCCAGAATCTGGAGAAATCGATAATAAATTGCTGCTTTATGCCAGTAAGTATTGTGGTGGTTTGTTTTGTGCAAAAGCTAACAAATACAGAGGGGACCAGTCAGCACAGTATATGAGAGATATACTTCGGGAGCGTACTTCAGCAGCCTTCCTTCAGCCCTGCCTAGAAGGGGAGTTCTTGGGTCCATGTGTGATCTGAATGTTTCTTGGAGCAGCTGTAGCCTTAGTTGGAGGCAAATATATCCAAATGTCATATCGTGGTGTCACTACAGTTTGAATTGCCCATTTAAATCTTTGCTCAGAGTCCATGCTCACCAATTCAACTGCATTGGAGTTCAGCTCCTAGACAGAAATCTCACATGGAGGGGATTTATTATTATTATTAATATGAATATTTGACACTGCAGGTTAATTCTTAGTGTAAGCAAAGCAGCTAATATAATGTAACTGAATTTCTTATGAACTTAGCTAGAGGGCTATGCTTTGAGAAATAAACCACCTGTCAGAGTTGTGGTGGCCAAGAGAATACAGACCAGCAACTACAGATGTAATTGACCAAAGACTCCAGTTGCTGTGCTCTAAAATCCTATTCCTTCCAAGGCTATGCTACCCAAAAGCTTCTCCCAGCTGATAACCAAATGTGGTTAAATGCTAACACAGATCCATTCCTGGCCACACAGGATTGCTCTGACTATGCCTCCAGGGATTCCTTAATAGCACTGCTAAACTTACCTTATAACTTCATTGCACCAGGGCAATCCATAAGGATTCCACCCCTCTTTCCTCGAGGTCAGACATTGTAGGGCGAGGGCTCTCCAGCCTTCCTTGGTTCCCTCTTTTTTTGTCACAAGAAGATTTTCCTAATATAACTCTTACATGTTTAATCCCATTATTACATCTGCTTCTTGGAGGACCCAAACTAATATATGGACTGCTGATAAAATCAAGTTCCTAAGATCACAAGGCTGAGAGCTTTGGTAAATCCATTTATGATAATGATAGTCGAGCCTATCCCATTCAACATACTTTATACTATGTATGATTAAATTGAACCGCTTGTTTCTCTTTTACTTTAAAGTGGCTAGAGAATGGTTAAACATGAAATTGATTATTGATGACCAAAGAGGGTAGTAATGAGTATTTTTAAGAAAATAAATTGTATGTTGTCCAATTTTTTCAATACTTTACTTAATAAGAAAATAACAAAGACTCATGAAGATGGGCAAACACAAACCATATCTTGAGCCAGAGATTGGAAAAAATTGGTTGACACAGATAAACTGTGGCAATAATGAAAAGATTAGTGCATTCATGTGTGTGGTAGAATATGAGAGAGAGAATATGGGCAACCACAGGTCATTTAAGAGTGCTCCAGTAGAAAACATATGGTATGAATGGGAAAGGTAGAAACAAATGAAGTTTCCAGGTGCAGAAATGGCTAGAAGTATAATGAGTCATTAGCCAGAGAAAAAGGGAAATGAAAAAAAATTTGAAGGTGGAGAATTTGTATTTGGTTCAAATAACCTTCTGTTTAAAATGTCAGAGAGACCTTCAGGCTTATCTTAGAAATTCAGATCTGGGTTAACGGAGTACATTTGAGTGTCAACTACACATACTTGTGATAACTGAAGGATGAAGACTGTCTAAGAAAACAGTAAAATTATGTATAGAGACAGAAATTTTCTAATCATAATTTTAATGCAAATTTATATCACAGAAAATAGTTGATTTATCAATTGCAATATTTATATCATTAAATGCTAACTTACCTAGATTTTTAATAAATTCTGGTTTTCCTGATCAGATAATCAAAACATATGCACCACATTATTTACAGCAATGAGGCACTTAAATGCTTCAAAAAAAAAATACGGAAGAAAACTTTTTTTTTTTTTTGAGATGGAGTCTCACTGTATCACACAGGCTGGAGTGCAGGGGTATGATCTCGGCTCACTGCAACCTCTGCCACCCGGATTCAAGTGATTATCCTACTTCAGCCTCCTGAGTAGCTGGGATTACAGGTACCTACCACCACACCCGGCTAATTTTTGTATTTTTAGTAGAGACGGGGTTCCACCATCTTGGTCAGGCTGGTCTTGAACTCCCGACCTAATAATCCACTTGCCTCAGCCTCCCAAAGTGCTGGGAATACTGGTGTGAGACACCGCGCCTGGCCGAAAACACTTTTTAAAATGTCCAAATCTAGGGATAGTTGAACTCTTAAATATTGTCTAGACTGAACATATTCTGTGCCTTATATTTTCAGCTATTAAAATTTTTATTTTCAATTATTATGGGTATATCACGTGTGTGTGTATATATATATATATATTTATGGAGTAAATGTGATGTTTTGATATAGGTATATGATTTGTAATAATCACATCAGGATAA